ATATATAATATGCATATAATCCATAGTATCCATATAGTATGTATTAACTTGTAATAAAAACCTCTTGGGTATACCTACTACATATTTGTATCTGGCTGGTTTTGGTATCATTAAAAGTTTAAATTTTAAAGAAGACTCTTGACTGGTGGTAGGACCTCTTGTGAGTCCGCGCGGGTAGGTACCACCGCTCTGCCTATTTCTGCCGTGAAGCAGTAATGCGTTTCGGTCTGAAGGGTAGGGCAGCCGTTGTAACTAAACTGAGATTTTAGAACTTATATCCCAAGGTGGGTGGCGCATTTACGTTTTAGATGTCTATGGGCTCCAGTAACCACTTAACACCAGGTGGGCTGTGAGCTCGTCCACCCAGCTAAGCAATAAAAAAAAAGACTAGCTGACCCAGCAAACGTTGTTTTGCCATGTATGTTATTTCTATAATAAATTAAATAAATTATTAATAGTTAATAAATCCTTCTATTAGTGTATTGATAGAAAACAGTGACTTAATATTGTGTTGTTTTCATTTGCTTATTATTTGACTTACCTTTCACAATAATAAAACAGGTATATTTATTAACCACGTACAAGTTTTCGTTTTGATTGAAAACAATTCCCAAAAAATGTTAAGTACAATACCTATATATACAGGTACAGGAGCTTACAACACGTATTTACTTATTACTTACTTACTTATTACTTATTTACTTTGTCAGATTAATAAATTTTTATTTACAATAATTAATTATTGCACTGGAAATTAATGATAATTTTACGATGACAGTAAAATTAACATGAGAGTTTTTTTTTTTTTTTGTCAAGATGAAATCGCCGGACTTTCGCCCTTCACTGGGGATGGAGGGCGGGGCATGTCGGAGTCGAAGCTCAACAACCAGCATCCAAACCTCGCATGAGACAGAGCTCATGAAAAGGCAAAAGGGGGAAAGTGAAGCGTTTAGTGCACATCTCTCCCATCACCCTCCCCCTCGGGACGCCGGACTGGCGGTCGTCGGCGCCACGACCACCAGCTCTCTCGGTCGGCAGGCTGTCCGAAGCCCGCCTAGATGGCGCCGGTTAGAATGGTCTATCCTACGGAATACTCCGCTGGGTCAGAACCAGCGTGGGTTGAGGATAGCCGGCCTTCCATCACCCGGATGCTGATGCATAAAACGCGTGCAGAGCAGCTTGCACGTCGTCTTCTTGGGCCCCCTTCGCCGGTCCCCAGGCCGACATGTGAGGGAGACCCGAAACACTTAGAGGGCCAGGGCTTGGGCGAGATCCGCCTCCCTGGCCCCCGCTCGACGGCGGCGGGGCGCGTGAGAGACGCATAGGCCCGCCGCGAGATGGTGCTCCTTCCGCGAGATGGTGCACTCGCAGAAGTCGAGCATCGCCTTCCACGACTCGTCGTCACCGAGCATCGATACCACAACACTCGGCAACGACAAGTCGTTTCCTATTTTTGCGACGAGGACACGGCGCCACCCCTCCCGTGCGGGGCAGGCAACGAGCGTATGCTCTGCCGTGTCCAAGTCGCAACCACAATGGTGGCACTCTGCCGTCGGCTCGGCTCCGATCCGGTGCAGGAACTCACCGAAGCAACCATGCCCAGTGAGTACCTGCGTGAGCCGGAAAGTGAGGCGTCCTCTGTCACGATTCACCCAATTCACAAGAACCGGGCGAATCGCCTCGTCGGTCCTACGACCAGCCGAAGGATCGGCCAGCCGCCTGGCCCATGCCTCCAGCACGGATCGCCGAGATTGGGCCCTCCGCGCTCTGACCACACTGGGGCTGGGACGCACCACGCCCCGGGCACGAAGGTTAGCCCGCCACTGATAGTCAGCGGCGAGCGCCTCCGCCTCCAGGACCCAAGGCGGCGTCCCAACCAGTACACACGCCGCCTCGAAAGAGATGGTGCGATAACCACGGATGACCCTGACCGCGATGGTGCTGTTATAGCGGGATTCGCTACGTAGATTTAAAAAAATAAAATACGAAGTTATGGAGGTCCGACGACAGTCACGCGCACTGATTTAGGAGGATAGGAGAAGACTTGACCGTTCAGGTCGAGAGGTTGTAGAAGACTTGACCGCTCGGGTCGAAAGATTGTACAAGACTGTCCGTTTGCGGGGCGGACGGAACAGGAGAGCTCGGGGATGCTGATCGTGCAGCTTGGTTAGGGCTGTCAGCCAAATAGTATTCATACTAGGGTTATAACAGTGCGTTGCGGCCGTTGCAGCAACTTCGCTACCCCCATGGCCAGGGACTGGCCCCACACGGGCGCCCCGTATAAGGCCATTGACCGCACCACCTCCGTATAGAGACGGCGCGTCACCTGGTCAGGCCCCCCGATGTTGGGAAGAAGCCGGCTTAAAGCGCCGGCCACCCCCAACAAACGAGGGACCAGGTTCTGAAAGTGAACACGGAAGGTCCAACGACTGTCCAGAATGAGGCCGAGGTACTTCAACTGCACCCCGACCCCGATAACATGAGAGTTACACAGAAAAATTAAAATAATAGGTATAACAGTCACTGCTACGATTGATACACAAATAAAACCAAAAAAGCATGGCTGAAAAATGTATAGTGAGTAAGACAGGAGACCGGCTTCGTCCTCATCCCTACTACGTGATGTTTGCTGGATGAGTGGTGACACTTGGCGGGGATAACTGATCGATTAATAGTTGATCAGTAGTCGACCGGCGCGGGCGGGAGATCAAATTGAATTAAAAAAAAAATCATAATTAAAGGAACTTGAAATTATAAACTCTGAATAAGAATTTATCGTACTACAATTATAATATTGTGGTATATATATTGTAGGTAAGCAATTATAATGCAGTGGGCTGGCCATATATGCCTGACGATCACTGGAGCAGACGGGATCTCGAGTGGAGGCCGCGCAGCGGAAGACGTAACGTGGGACGCCCCCTGGCTAGGTGGTGCGATGACCTCCGCACGGTGGCCGGCAAGAAGTGGATGAGGAGAGCCGCAGACCGGGCTCAATGGTGTGGAATGTCCAGCAGTGGACGACTGTGGGCTGTTGATGATATGAATTATTATATTTGATTGTCATCTTGCAACCTTATTGCGGATCTCTGCATAGAATAAAAAAAATTAAAATAGGGATGGAAACATAGGGGTTGGTCGTATAAGAGTGAAAATTGAGAGTAATATGAGTTTTTTTAAATTATGAGTCAACACAAAATAAATAAAAATCTTGCCAAAAAAATTAAAGTTTATAATTAACAAATAAAAAATAGGGGTTGATCATAGAGGGATGAAAAATTTAGAGTAACATCAGATTTTTTATTTTAATTCATGACAAAATAAAAATAAAAATGAAAATTTTGCCAAACTAATTAAAGTTTTTAATTAACAAATAAAAAATAAGGGTTGATCGTAGAGAGGTGAAAATTTAGAGTTGTATGTATTTTTGTATGCTCTATCATAAAAAAATAAAAACATAAAATTTTGTCTAAAAAATAAAAAATTAAATTTAGGGGCGGACCACCCTTAATATTTAGGGGGATGAAAAATAAATGTTGTTCGATTCTCCACCCTGGCCAATATGCACGCTAAGATTCACGAAAATCGGTCGAGCCGTTTCGGAGGAGTTTAATCACGCACACCGTGACAAGAGAAATTTATATATTAGATAATTCCAAATTCAAATTAGGAAAATGTGTGATCTTTATGATGCACCGGTGTTCGAATCCCGCAGGCGGGCACCAATTTTTCTAATGAAATACATACTCAACAAATGTTCACGATTGACTTCCACGGTGAAGGAATAATATCGTGTAATAAAAATCAAACCGCAAAATTATAATTTGCGTAATTACTGGTGGTAGGACCTCTTGAGAGTCCGCGCGGGTGGGTACCATCACCCTGCCTATTTCTACCGTGAAGCTGTAATGCGTTTCGGTTTGAAGGGTGGGGCAGCCGTTGTAACTATACTGAGACCTTAGAACTTATATCTCAAGGTGGGTGGCGCATTTACATCGTGGATGTCTATGGGCTCCAGTAACTACTTAACACCAGGTGGGCTGTGAGGTCGTCCACCCATCTAAGCAATAAAAAAAAAACCTCACGAACTCACTGAAAGAAACCTAATGAACCGTGTACTCATTTGTGATTTATTATTACGTCGTAATGAAACCGAACCATTTTTGAAGAAGCTGATAACTAGTGATGAAAAGTGGATCACGTACGACAAGAACGTGTGAAAAAGGTCGTGGTCAAAGGCCGGTCAAGCTTCACAGATTGTGGCGAAACCCGGGTTAACTCGCAACAAAGTAATGCTGTGTGTGTGGTGGGATTGGAAGGGCATTATTCATTATGAGCTGTTACAACCAGGCAGGACCATCGATTCTGAAATCTACTGCGAACAACTGATGAGATTAAAGTAAGAAGTTGAGAGAAAGCAGCCGGAATTAATCAACAGAAGGTGTGTGATTTTTCATCATGTAACGCTAGATCTCACACATCTTTAGCCACTCAGCAAAAATTAAGAGAGCTTGGCTGGGAGGTGTTAATGCATCCGCCATATAGTCCTGACCTTGCACCTTCAGATTTCCACCTGTTTCGGTCTGTTCAGAATTCTTTAGGCAGTGTCAGGTTAACATTACGAGAGGAGTGCCAAAACCAATAGTCGCGGTATTTTGATCAGAAGCCCCAAAATTTCTATAGCAATGGGATCATGTCCCTACCTATAAGATAGCAAAAAGTTATCGAACAAAATGGTACCTACATACTTTAGTTAAATGTAAATAAACAACATTAAAAAATGTTGTGAATTTTCTTAAAAAATGCGAAGAAACTTTTTCCCCAACCTTTATTTATCATTTGAGTAAGTCCATATTTTTTTGAATAGTGATCACATAATATCATGTGGAACGTACACATATTTGCATAAAATGGTAAGTAAACAATTTAGATTACGTAGTTTTAAATACGCACACACGCACACACACTATTTTGGCTATTATCGTTTCAGTAAAGGAGTGACTTCGGAGGACGCCGGCCGAGGCTAAGAGCACCTTTAACAACTAACCGCTGGTGATATTCTCTGGCATCCTTCTTCGTAACATGACCGTGAGCGGGCAGCAGTACTGTGTACGGAGAATAATTTGAATGAAGAATGAACTGGGGACGGTAAGTTTCGTTTACTTTGTTTTTTTTTTTATTTATTTTTTATTACTTAGATGGGTGTAAAGCTCACAGCCTACCTGGTGTTAAGTGGTTACTGGAGCCCATAGACATCTAGAACGCAAATGCGCCACCTACCTTGAGATATAAGTTCTAAGGTCTCAAGTATAGTTACAACGGCTGCCCCATCCTTCAAACCGAAACGCATTACTGCTTCACGGCAGAAATAGGTAGGGTGGTGGTACCCACCCGCGCGGACTCACAAGAGGTCCTACCACCAGTACAAAGTATTTATTTAGCGTTGTTTGTTTTTTATTGTTTAGATGGGCGGACGAGCTTACCTGGTGTTAAGTGGTTACCGCAGATGGGCTGCGATAACTTACACATCTACAACATAAATTCCGCCAACCACTTTGAGACAAGAGTTGCAAAATCTCAGTTTTACAAAACCTCGGTTGCCCCACCCTTCGAACCGAAGCGCATTACTGCTTAACGACAGAAATAAGCGGGGTGGTGGTACCTACCAGTGCGGACTCACAAGAGGTCCTACCACCAGTAATTACGCAAATTATAATTTTACCGGTTTGGTTTTTATTACTCGACGTTTTTCCCTCACCGCCGAAGTCAATCGTGAACATTTATTAAGTGTGCATTTCATTAAAAAAATGTACTTATCTGCGGGATTCGAACCCTGCTGCATCGTTATATACGAAAGCACCGGACGTCTTATCCTTTAGGCCACGACGACTTTAATGTCCTTTCGATTCTTGCACCCGATAAGCGCGAGCCCAGACCGCCGCTCTGTACTGCTCGTCAATAAATCGTTCTGTTTTGAAGACTATCGCAACGTAGTCAGCATCTTTAGCTGTATACTTTAAGATGCAACGAGTTTGTCAGCTGTTCCCTGCGCCCAATATTGCGTTATTACATTTGTTTCATAGCTAGCCTAGCTTCCGGCTACGTTGAGACAGTATATTCTTATAGAACAGTTACAATTTCAAACACCTGAGGTGACTTTTGTGTGCACTTGCTAAGGGAAAAAAACGCGGTCTACACAAAGATCTTTAAGCTAAGTTTGAAAAGAGTATTTCCAGCAGGCAACAGTTCGCTGTGATTATGTCTATGAGCGACGATAGTCACTTAGCATCAGTGGACTTGTCCGCTTCACAGAGACAGTGGTTCGGCTTGAGTCTGGACTCGCAATTTGGTTTGATGCAAACATTGCAAACGCTGCTTTTCAAGCCGGATTGTATGACTGCCTAGTTAGGTAGGTAGGTAAAGGCCGCAGTGCAGAATACACACCGAAGGCCTTGCCATTTTTTTAAATTTACAATTAACATAATGATGTATACAAAATCCAATTATAATTAATTCCTATTATAATTAACACAAAAAAGAATAATAAAGAGAAACAAATACAAAAATTAAAACGTTCACAGGAACATTTTTCAAATTAAAATTGAAATAAATTAAAATACAAACGTTAATACTATCATTAAACTAGTTATTTTATCTTGACATGCTCTAACTTCAAAATAGTAATGAATAATTAGGTGACGTCTTAGATGTAACAATGTGGACACAGTTGCCTCTGTAACTAGTTGTCATTGGTTTCTTCGCTAATTAATTAATTCTTAAAGTAAAACAGGTGCGATAATTTTTTTTTGGCCTCAAATTTACTTGTTCTAATTGCTATACTTTAATTCGCGTAAACGCTTAATAAACTTAATGATTTCAAACTCCGTTAATTTTCACTTTCTACACAATTATTGTGTATGCTTTACCTTCAACTAGTATATTTGTTTTCTAATATTGCTTTAACTGATATAATTCTGCAACGTTGATGTAACATTTTCCTTAAGGTCAGTTCGCGGACTGATATTCGATATTAGAGCTGGGTGGTCTCGGCCTAGAGTATCATCACCCCATCTGATCCCGTGCTTGTAGTCTAAGGTTGTAGTCCAAGGAAGGAAGGCCACTATAGGGTTCACCGAAGAAGTCACATCGGCGTTCTCGGAGTATTACGCCAACGTAATTAGAGCATGCTTTAGTGTACACCAATATAAAATGAGTACAAATGCAAAATATTAAATACAAAAGTACAATGGGTGGTCTTATCATTGAGAGCGATCTCTTTCAGACAACCATCAGATGAATACATATCATCTGAGGATAGAAACTAACTACGGCGTACATAGTGCTTGAAAACAGAATATACCTATAAAATATCAATTTATAATTATAGTATTTATTACTACTTTATATATCAAAAATGAATAAATTATTAATGAAATGTACGTTTAAAAGTGATGTAAAATGAATGAGACGTACTGCCATCGCTGCCATCGTTGCCATCGCTGCCCGGCAGATGGGCTTCGGCCTGGACCATTACCGACCACTCAGACCATATGCCGAGAGCGCCCCTTGAGGTTTGATCCCCGGTCCGAAATTATAAAGGTGCTAGCCCTACCTATTGTAAGCCCATAGGGGTTCACCGGTCTGACTGCATCACAAAAAGAAACAAAATTCTCTTGTCTACAAACTTTGTTTAAATATTTTAATTATGTATCTTCAGGTTCATGTTTCGACTGCTATTGGCATGCAGTGCTGGCGCAGTGGAGGCCTTTTTCTTTGAGAATTTCTTGCAAGACCTTCCCTATACGTACCCTACTGGAATTCAGCTAGAAGGTGAATATTAGATCCTAACGTTTCACTCAACACACTTCCTTCCTATTCGTACACTCTTGACAGAGTGGTCGTGGTCATGCATCAGTCGGATCCTGCGATACTGATGCTCTCGCGATGCGACGCCATGTGGCACGATATTTCGCAGAGTGAGAGCAAACATTTATGTTGGAGTGAGTCACAGATTTTATGAGGTCGGTCCATCGTGTTGGAGATCGTCCGCGAGATCTTTTGCCCTCGACTTTCCCTTGCACCACCAACCGCTCAATAGAGTCCTCATTACGAGTGATGTGCCCGAAGAACTTGAGGATTTGTAAGTGGACTGTTGACGATAGTCTCTCCTTGATGTTGAGCTCTTTCAGGATCGAAATGTTGGTACGGTGCGCGGTACACGGAATTCTGAGGAGACGTCTCCAATACCACATTTTCAGTGCGTCAATCTTACGACGGTCTTGCATCCTCAGCGTCCACGTCTCAGCCCCATACAGAAATGTTGGAAAGACCAGGCATCTCATTAACCGAACTTTTGTGTTTTTGGTTATTCTGCGGTCTCTCCAAATCTTTGTTAGCCTCTCAACTAAGGATCTTGTCACGGCGCAACGTCTTCGGATCTCATCTTCGCAGCCTCCAGCGTTGGTGATAGTGGAGCCTAGATATACATAGCTATTAACTACCTCGCATCCCGCTATATGTTGGACTTCCGGTTGGTTGATGTTAGCACGATCTACGATCATCATTTTGGTCTTATCACGATTGATCGCAAGTCCAAAATCCAACGCTGTAGTCTCCAGCCGGCGAAGAAGCACCTCGATTTCGTCTCTGGTTGACGCCAAGAGGGTAGTATCATCGGCGTATCTCAAGTTTGATATTTTCCGACCACCAACGGATATTCCTTTATCCCAATCTTCAAGAACTATCCGCATTATATACTCTGTGTATATATTAAATAAAAGAGGAGATAGTATGCAGCCCTGCCTAACGCCTGCCTGTGTGCTGAAGCGTTCGGAGTCAATACTGTCAACACGAACAGCGGCCGTGCCATCTTCGTACAGACGTCTGATGGTGTGTACAAGATGTTGCGGTACACCCATTTCCGTCAGTACCAACCACAGCTTCCACCACTTGACGGTATCAAAAGCCTTTCGGAAATCCACGAAGCACACATATAGGCTAATATTAAATTCTCTGGCCTTTTCTACAATTTGCCGCATTACGAGTAGTTGCTCTCTTGTGCCTCGACCTTTTACAAAACCTGCTTGCTCGGGGGCGATCTCTCGGGACAAGTAACCTTGGAGCCTCGTGTTAATTATGTGCAGCATGACTTTACTGGCGTGGGATACGAGAGAAATTAGTCTGTAGTTATTGCACTTCTTCGTTGATCCCTTTTTGTGAAGTGGAATGAATATCGAATGTGACCAATCGCTCGGCCAAACTCCAGTGACCCAAATTCGACAACAGATGATGTGCAGTATATCCACTCCGATTTCCCCCATGGCTTTTATTGTCTCGATGGGGATTTCATCAAAACCTACAGCCTTATTCCGTTTAAGGTGGTTGATAGCTGCTCGCACCTCGTCTTTTAGAGGCATCGGCTCCAGTTCCGAGGGTTCACTGTAGGTCATTGAGATCTTTGTTGTGGTGTCAGTAAACAGAGACTTGCAATAGTCTTTCCAAGCGCTAACAATCTTTTTGATCTCAGTGACAGTATCTCCAGACGCATTCTCAATAGCCCAAGTCTTTGGCTTAAATTGACGAGTTATAAGTCGGATTTTCATGTGTAAATCTTTGGTTTCAAAATTTTGAGAATGCCTTTGAACCTCTTCACATATTGATTATAGCGCTGTGTTTCGGTCATGACGGCAAGCAGCCTGTATGGCGGAACTCAGGACGTTCAACTCCTGCATTCTGGCACCGCCAGCCTTAAGCTCTCTAGGCTTCTCAATTAAGTCCCAGGTCTTCCATCCAATGCTGCCTTTTCTTGGATTTCTTTTTGGGCTGTGATTCGTGCACGACGTCTTTTATAAATTGCACGGTAGATTGCCAGAGGTGATCAACGCTCACTTCCTTGCTGCAGTTTTCGTACCAGCACTGTTCCATATCCTGAAGAGACTGGACAAACGAGTTTCTATCAATGACTTCTAGGCGTTTGACAGTTTTTCTAATTATAGGTCTACGCAGTCTGATCCTCATATTGCATATTAGTAGCTGGTGATCCGACGTGACATCAGCTCCCGGTAGTGTATGAGCGTTGGTTATTGAGCTTCTCCATCTTGTCTTGATCAGTATATAGTCTATTTGGTTGCGGTGCTCTCCGTTTGGGGAGGTCCAAGTATACAGTCTTCTGGGGTGGTGTTTGAAGGCTGTATTCATTATTGTTAAGTTATTATCTGCCGCAAACTGAATCAACCGTTCTCCTCTACTGTTCCTGCAATCAAGACCGTAGTGACCCAAGATATTTCGTAACCCTACATCCAAAACAGTGGTTCCAACCTTTGCGTGTAAGTCGCCGATAATCATCAGTATCTCTCTTTTTGGGATGTTGTTTATACAAGCCTCGAGTTGATTATAGAAGTTCTCAATTTTTTCCTCAGTAGCGGCGCTAGTAGGGGCGTCGACCTGAATGATATTCAGTGCACATGGTGAAGCACTGAGTTTCATGGTGATGATCCTGTCGCTGAGTTTTGTTGTTCTTTTTCCAGTGGCATAATTTCCATGAGGTGCCTGGTCGCCTGCTCCCCCATGGCCGGTAACCAATTTCACACCCCGGTTCCCGGACAACTTAGGGCGCCGGTCGCTACTCGGATCGCAACGCACACTTTTACTCTTATAAGACCTGCTCATGACTCTCGTGGGAAATTAGTGCAGTGGTTTCCCGTTGCCTTCTGCACCAGCACTTTAGGGGGTATTTGATCCCCAAGGTTTCTGACGCCTCTTCCGTACAGGTTGCCCTGACGGGTGTGTATGGTTATACCGCCACTGCTCGGTCGCCATTGCCCCGTTGGTTTTCTAGCAGGGAGCACCACAGCAACCTGTTGGTCGCCGCCGCCATCCGGCGCGTGCAGGTGGGGTTAACAATAGGGCCGGTGAAGGTAGCATTCCGATCTCCCCTTACTCAACACACATCTACCTGGTATTAAGTGCATATGAAATTTCAGAAAAATAAACAAGAGTGAGAGGGATAGCGAGACAAAATATTGACAAATCTAAAAAATAATTTTTTTTTTGTTATAGCCCGATCAGACAGGCGAGCATACGGCCCACCTGATGGTAAGTGGTTACCGTCGCTCATGGACGTCAGCAATGCCAGAGGTAGAGCCAAGCCGCTGCCTACCGCTTAATACTTGTAATACGGATCGTTTGGAACCTCTGGGTCTGCGAAGGGACTTCGGTTCCCTCTGTATTTTGTACCGTATGTTCCATGGGGAGTGCTCTGAGGAATTGTTCGAGATGATACCGGCATCTCGTTTTTACCATCGCACCGCCCGCCACCGGAGTAGAGTTCATCCATACTACCTGGAGCCACTGCGGTCATCCACAGTGCGTTTCCAGAGATCTTTTTTTGCCACGTACCATCCGGCTATGAATGAGNGGGACTTCGGTTCCCTCTGTATTTTGTACCGTATGTTCCATGGGGAGTGCTCTGAGGAATTGTTCGAGATGATACCGGCATCTCGTTTTTACCATCGCACCGCCCGCCACCGGAGTAGAGTTCATCCATACTACCTGGAGCCACTGCGGTCATCCACAGTGCGTTTCCAGAGATCTTTTTTTGCCACGTACCATCCGGCTATAGAATGAGCTCCCCTCCACGGTGTTTCCCGAGCGCTATGACATGTTCTTCTTCAAACGAGGCTTGTGGAGAGTATTAAGCGGTAGGCAGCGGCTTGGCTCTGCCCCTGGCATTGCTGAAGTCCATGGGCGACGGTAACCACTCACCATCAGGTGGGCCATATGCTCGTCTGCCTACAAGGGCAATAAAAAAAAAAGAACTGGAAAATGAGATCAGGATGATTAACACACCGAATGAAGTGAAGTGAAATTTTTATAATGAACTACTTCTTTCAGATGGAGCCGCGTATGATTACGTGGTGGTAGGAGCTGGGGCTGCGGGCGCCGCGGCCGCCTCTAGGTTAGCATTGAAAGGTTTCGATGTTATGCTTATAGAAGCCGGAGGCGATCCAAGCTTCCTATCTACGGTAATCAATCAGTCTTCAAAATGATTCCATCAGAATCCTTGTTCTTGAACTTTATGTGGCAAAATTTCGTTTAATTGGTCAAGCTCTGCGCGTGCACTAGTCGATGTAGCTCTTCCCACACAAGTCTTGTGAGTTCGCTACAAATTCTACTGGCAGAATACGCTGCTAATCATTGATATCTATTTTCAAATATTTTTAAAGTATTTTTTAGTTTAACAGCTTTGTAATGAGTTTATTCAACTGTGTTGTATTCAACATTCAATGATCTTGATTGAGCCGTAAATACTTTCTTATTTCAGATACCAATGGCGTCGTTGGGTCTCCTTGGCTCCTCACTGGATTGGCAGTACAAGACTATTCCAAACAACATATCCTGTCTCTCTTCAATTGGTGAACAGTGTAGATTTAGTCGGGGAAAGAGCTTAGGAGGAACCACCGCTATCAATCACATGCTGTACATAAGAGGAAATAGATATGATTACGACAGAATGAACATCTCAGGGTGGACATGGAAGGACTTAGAGCCGTATTTCCTTCGATACGAAGGTCTTCAAATTTTAGACCAGTATCCAGCTAGTTCAAGGAAATATCATAATAGTAATGGTACTATGAAATTGGAGTATTTTGATGATCCGCGTAACCCATGGCACACGAGAACTGTGGAGGGGTTAAAGCAGCTAAATATACCTTTTAATAAGGATTTGAACGGAGAGTATCAAATAGGAGTTACAAAAGTAGCTGGTTATGTATATAAAGGAGAGAGGATGAGTACTGCGCGGGGCTACCTGGCAAGGAATGATGTTAAGAAAAATCTTAAAGTTGCGAAGAATGCTTTTTGTACTGAAGTAGTTATTGATGACGACAATATTGCTCGAGGAGTGACAGTTGTCCAAAATCTACAAAAAGTTACAATATATGCAAGAATCGAAATTGTACTTAGTGCTGGAACGATTGGAACCCCTCAGATATTGATGCAGTCAGGTGTCGGTCCAGCTGACCACTTACAAGAAATGGGCATATCAGTACGATCAAACCTTCCGGTCGGTAATGATATGAGTGACCATCATCTACCAGTCGTCATCGTCAAAGTAGACCACGGAGGACTAGTAGACAGCCTCGTTGGACTGACTTCTAAAGCCCCCCAAGTACTACAGTACTTGGCCTCCAGGAGCGGACCACTAGCATCTAATAGCCTACAAGATATAGTGACATTGATAAACACTAACTGCTACGATTTTGATCTTCGTCAGTATTCAGGTAATAGTAGTCTGTGTGAACTCGCTGATATGCAGATTATTCAGTCGTACATAGACAAAGGATTGGTGGCTTTAGCAAAGCCTTTGGTTAAGCAGGCTATTGGTTTCAATGACCAAGTCTTAGACCAAATTGAGAAGGCGAACGAGAACCATGGCTTGATTATTTTCTCGCCTATGGTTCTGCAGCCATATTCTCGTGGCACCGTCCGCCTCGCCAGTATTGATCCACTGCAACCACCAGCAATCTTCGCTAATTATCTTGGAGATGAACGAGACGTCGAACAAATGGTAAAATCTATCACTTTCTTGGAGCACCTGATGAAAACTCAGATCTTCAAAAAACACAAAGCCTCAATCTTACACTTGAATCTACCTGGATGTCCAGCCTATAAATGTGGAAGGGTAGAGTATTGGAGATGCTACGCCAGACATATGACTTATTCTGGATACCATGCTGTAGGGACCTGTGCGCTGACCAGGGTGGTAGATGAACAACTCCGTGTGTATGGTGTAAAGAACTTAAGAGTGGCCGATTTGAGTGTACTGAAAAATATTATAAGAGGAAACACAGCATCTGTTTCTATAGCTATTGGAGAGAGAATTGTGGATTTTTTAACTGAGGAAGATAATCCATAGTCCATTTAAAGATTAAGTACAGTTAGACCAATCTGAAGTTTTGCTGAAATTTTCATCGAAACCGGTCCAGGAGTTTCGGAGTCTATACGGAACATATATAAATACACAGACTTTTATATAATATGTATATGGATTGATAGATATCAAATAAACATTACACCCCGAATACCAAAGACATTAACTCCATCTAGGTATATATTCCGCAGTGCACAATACAACTCTGTTTCATATTCGATATCAGCCTGGTGCGAAGCCGGGGCGCATCGCTGGTTGATTATCATTTTAAAAAACAATTATCTGTGTGTTCCTATCAGCGTTTCATTAGTGAACCAATAAAATGTCATTTCAGTTGAAAACCAACTTGTTTGTGCTTGTGTTTAAACCGAACGACGCTCATATCTTTATACCGAGAAAATACTTTTTGAATCCACCGAACACATCAGACCCAAGACCGCTTCCGTTAAAACATCGGAGATAAACTAAAATTGGATCAATCGTACAGTAGACTCGTTCTCTTCACAAACTCGAATTTGTACAACTTTATGAGTATACTTGAAGGTGTTAATGTTGTCATCTGGACACGGCGGCGGCGGCGTGGTGCAGTTGTATGTAGCTGGAGAATCTCTTTCCATTTCATCGTGTATTGACGCGACCGAGCGTCGCCCTTCAGAGTAAACAGCTCCACTGATTAACGTACTATATGCGAGCACACTAAAGACACAATAAAGATCGCTCGTCCAATGAGTAGTCACATTCACATTACAAAATTTCTTTATAAAATGTATTACACCGCGTATAGGTAATTGGGAGTGCGTCGTAAATGATTACTATTTCATTGTGTAGTGTAGCCGCATGGACGTATAAATGCGTAGCCGGGACAAAGTGGCAGTAGTTGTAATGAGCTCTTGTCGGAATGAACGGAGCAAAGCTCAACATTAAACATTCAGAACACAAGTGGCCCCGCTGGACTTGCTCTCTGAACTCTTAATATGTTATTTAGTGAAGTTTACTCCTCGTGTAGTATTTAATAGGTTTCCACGTGTTGTCGATATTCAAAATACCTTAATTGTGGATAGGTACCATAAGTGATTGAAGTAGGAAAATTGTCAGCAAAATTGATAAAATACATATTTTGAGTATATCGAAGCGAGAGACTTCGATGCTAACTGGCCATTATGGCTGGCTGGAGGCCAAGATGAACTAAATGTTCATTTGGTGGTAAGTTCCCATAAATGGCAAAATCTAATATCCGCCATCCAGTCACCGTCCTCGTCGAACCCGTCGCTTGCGACGAAGGGCTCGGCGAGCGAATTAACTCACAGACACAGCCCACTGAGTTTCTCGTCGGATCTTCTCAGTGGGTCGCGTTTCCGATCCGGTGGTAGATTCTGCGAAGCACTGCTCTTGCTAGGGTCAGTGTTAGCAACACTCCGGTTTGAGCCCCGTGAGCTCACCTACTAGTTAGGGTTACGCTGATATAGCCTCTCAAGGCTATCAGCTGAGATACGGAAAAAAAAAATCTGCCATCCACTCTAAAGGATAAGGTTGAAGTCTCAATCGTACATCGTACATATAATTTAAGTGATGTTCCACTCTTCAGTACGGAAAGCAACATAAAAGACAACTAAAACATGCAAAATTCAAATCCCAAAAATATTTTAATTATTCGTTTGAGAGGCTCGCGCGCTCGTGAGAGTTGCACGTACGAAATATTCCAGAGAGGATTAGCAGGGTTATTAAAAGTGTATTTTCAAGCACAAAGGGTTCCCACCCCTTGCAGCCAGTTGTTGCCTTAAAAATAAGGGTGGAAACTGTTCGCTGACAATAAAATAATGATAATTAACACACCACTTTAATTTACAAAATGAAGGGTTTAGGCAAGTTAATTTTAAAACCGGATTGAAACTGTGTTTTGGACTAACCTAGCGGCTTCGGTACAAAGAAGCTCACGGAATCATGTCAACCGATTCCAACACTCCGCGTGGACCATGCAGTACAAAATATAGAGAGAACAAGAGTCTCCGGAGGCTCCGGAAAAATCAGAAAATTTTCCACGTTCCAATCTACTTAATATTATAATCCGTGCTCAGAAGGACCGGGCTCGGGTGTACAAGACATCCGGCGCGACCCGGCTGTGATCTCTCGCGGGAATTATAATCACCTTGGAAAATCGATTTAATCTTTAATCCTGTGACGGCGTTTTGTCATTTATTATGCATACCCGATATAACAGCAGTGCCTGGAACGCTGCTTGGCAGGTTTGATTGTGTTTGTATACACATATAGCATTTTATATATGTACATATATGTACCTGCTCTTGATGCTAGAGCTGCAAATATCTATCTTAGTCGAACGAATGGATCCGTAAGGACATCTCTAGGGCATAAATGGTGACTGGCTCTTGCGTGAGTCGAAGCCGGAGAGTAATCTGCGGCGGCCGCGATGAGGCGATTTCATTATGCATCGCCTTATCGAAGTGTCGTTCCGACGCCAAGACGTCTGCTGAGAATAAATGCGCCGTGGTCTGCTCAGCACGCCCAAATTTTAGTTTGAAAATGAAACCGTTGTGCCAGTCATTGTCCAACGCTCTTGCGATGTCTAAGGAGAGGGTTCCCGTGCACAGTAGTTTGGGTCGGTTAAGCCCTTCTTGCTTCTCTAAGCGGTGCACCTTCTTGTACGAACGAGTATTTAGTGCGAAACCTCAATTGGTCATCTGTAAGATTACCGAATACCAGACTAATGGATAATGCCCGCTTCTCTTCACACCACAGAAACAACTGCATTGTTTCTGTGCTTTTAGGTACCTCAAGCACCGGTCACCGTTCTTGTCGAACCCGTCGCTTGCGACGAAGGGCTCGACGAGTAAATTAACCCTCAGACACAGCCCAATGAGTTTCTCGCCGGATCTTCTCAGTGGGCCGCGTTTCTGATCCGGTGGTAGATTCTGCGAAGCACGGCTCTTGCTAGGGTTCGTGTTAGCAACGTCGTCAGGTTTGAGCCCCGTGAGCTCACTAATTAAGGTTCCGCTGAAATAGCCTCTTAAGGCTATCAGCTTAGGTAGGAAAAAAAGAAAAAAAAAGAAGAAAAAAAAAGACAATATTCAAAGACCAACATATGCACATCCCTTGAGACCTAGTGGACACCAGGACAAGAGCGTCTTATCGTTTAGTATTCCTGAACAAGCATTGTGAAACATACTTGTTGCGTCTTCTATCGCTAACTAAAAGTGATACGACTCAACTTCTGCTTTTATTGTATAATTAATTGTTCATAATCGATGAAATGAGTGGAGCAGCACTGCTGGTGCGTGTGCCGCGTGCCGACCTAGTTCTGCGGTGAAGCGGAGTCTCAAACTGGATCGCGAGGTCGCGCCTCGCGGAGTAGGGCCCGCCTTGCCCTTGACTTATTGAAATTTATTTAATCTTAAAATACATGGTGGCACTCTCTATTAGTGCCTATAAGCTCCGTAGGTCGCTTCACGTCGGCTGAGTCAATATAGCAATCTACGACTTAATAAAATCAAATGAAACCGTGACGGGAACATTATTTATATTTGACCACGTGAATGCGTTTTCCCTATATTTTATTCCTGTTTGCCCTACCTAACTGATGGGCAATTCCAGCAATTTCTCCAGCTCACGGGGTTCTTTAGCCCGAGAAAAACTAGTTAACAATGACCATAGCAAAAGTAGTGCTTCTGCCATTGGATCGGAATCGCTACCCACTGAGAAGTTTCAGCGAGAAACCCAGTGGTTGATATCTATGGGTTACATGTGGCACGTCGAACTCTTCGACAAGCATTGTGATGGGTGCTTGGAGGCTAGAAAGCACCGAGAGTGGATGGATTGGCACCCGGCGCGTGACACGCTTACGGCGCCGGCGGCTGCGTGGTGCTCCGTCGTCCCGAGCGGGAACGTAGCTCGAGGAGGATGCGATAAGGGTGGTTGCGCCGCGTCGCTTTCGTTTCCCGAAGATACGCTCTCGTGCTCGCTGCAGATACTTACATAACGAAGTGGAGGCCACTAAATGTTTTTGTTTTCATTTAAATGAATACAATGTGGCGTTTCTTCAGCCTTCTTCCTTGTTCCAGATCCTGAAATAATTGATGAAAACAAGGAAACCAGCTTCCACCTGTTACCTGCTGCCAAACTGTTACTCCTTCCGGGCCGGAGGGCGGGCCGCTCGTTGTCCGATACAATTGAAACTTCACCTCGTTACAATAATAACATACTCTCGACTGAGAATGGACCGCAGGGCCGCATGCTGGCCGCCTTCTCGACTGAAATACTACAACATGCTAAGAATATATAAAAGGAGGTGTGAACCTGCGATATAAATATGAAAAAAAGTTACTATATGAATAATTTGATTTCAAAATCAAAAGGTGTCAGATGAATTTTATTTTCATTTGTTATCGATAGATGGCGCTGAGTGTTTTAGTGAATCGCGCTATGGATGTGTGTCTTGTTGAAATACAAATACTTTGTGATGCATGTATCAATTTTACGAACAAACAAACAAGATATTAGATAATCGGCTAATATCGCCAATTTTTGGTGCCTGCTGTAACGCGAGGCGTGTCAATACTGTCTAACGGTCGCAGGGCGAGGAATTTGACAGTTGGTGTTTTCCCAATGTGAAATAACATGAATCATTCAATTTATGTAGTTTGTTATTGTTGTAAATTGTTGTTCGGTAGGGATTGTAGGGAAGGGAGTTAAGGACACGGTATCGAAACTGTACTCATGAGTATTGAGTAGTATCGAAAAAATAATATTATTTTTATTAATTTATTTAATTATTTGGGAAACAAACATTTAATATCTTAAAAAATATAGCTAAAACAATAACCGAATATGTTTCCATAATCAAAATCACATATAAGTAGGGAGTGACAGAGAAGAGAAATTTAGAAATTTAAATTTCAAAAAAATAAAAGCACCACAATACGTACCTACATATTATTTTGTACACCAACTTACACTATAAAACTCATCGGATTAAATCACCATATAAATATTTTATAAATATTTTAATATATTTATTATACTCACTCACAAAAGTATCGATACTACAAGGTGTCGAGTACTTTTCTAAGACTTAATGCGCATAGAGCATAGTATCAGCCAATAAATAACGGCAATTTAACTTCATTAGAGCAGGACATGAAAAAACAAACGGTATTGGTACACAAAAACACAACAACAACTGTAACATCAAAATTACTTCATATTAAAAAAAAAATTGACATGTAGCTTATCTCTTGTTGTTTATCGAATACACTGTCCTCTATCCTCCTCCATTTACTAGGGGAAAAATGACGGCTCCGCCCCAGGCGCCAAGTTCAAATAATAA